GCAGCGGTTCGCTCCTTCATTTTCGGTGTTGACTGCCTTTTCCACGTTTGTTGCTTTTCTGTGGTCTCCTGATACAGGAAATCGTCATGTTTTTTCAATAGCTATGCGCTTCTCAGTTACTCAGGTTTCATCGCAGTGCCATGTTATGTTTAGAAGGAAATGGCTTTCTCCGTAGCAAATTCAGCTCAAGCCATTTTGGCCCAAGGCCCAAATGAACTCAAGGTTAACTCAAGAATGCGAGGGCTCGAACTTGAAACTTCCACCTTTACATTTATGGATCGTATACCGCTCTTAGCTGTTCAGACTGGTTGCTCAGATCATAGTAGCGAGGAAGCCGGCAGGTCCCACGGGGGACGCGCCACAGGACAAGTTGGCGAGGCTCGATTAGGAGGGCGAGGACGTTCTGATCGCATCGGAACCTGTTCTCTGGGATGACGGAGTGGATAAGAGTACGAAGGTGGACATGGCGAGCATGATGCAGAGTATGAGCCTGATGCTGAAAATGAAAATTGACACGCGGGAATTGAAAACTGACCATGGGGAGCGACGGCTTTAGCACAGCAGGCAGATTCCACAACAGTTATTGCAACGGAAATTGTCGATACGTTCAAAGCAGAGGGAGGAGTGCCCAACTTGGTGTGGGATATTGTGAAAGAGGACGGGCTGAAGCGGGCCAGGACTGCGACGACGGCAACTGGTACGGCATTCAAGGCAAGGGCAAGGGCAAAGCAGAGGCGGTGGAAAAATTGGATTGCACAGCGAATTTCGGAACGTGTCCCCTGGACTCGAAATCGACTGATGTAGTGAACGTTTCGGAGGAGGTTCTCAAAGATGCCAAGGAAGTGGAGGAGGTGTTCGCGTGCTGCCGGAGGTTCGCCGAGCGGGGAGCAGTTCGGTTCAAGACTCCAGCCGCGATGTGGTCTTACCTGAAGGGCACGGCCGGCGCGCACAAGTACAAGGAGAAGAATCTTCACGACAACGTGGACTGCAGGATTCGCGACCCGCTGTCGGAAGAAGCGGAGAGGGAGCGGGCTTCGAAGAAGGTCGTGCGGGCCGTTATCGACATGAACGGGGGCGATGGGGCCACCGTAAAGCAGCGCGTTGACACGAATTTCTGGAAGTGCGTGGTATGGTGGGAGGAATGCATGGCAGGGGGTGGAGATATGGATCCATGCATTTGCTGGGAGAGGCGGCGCGGTACCAGGCCAAGTTCGACGAACTCTGCTCTTCGGAGTAGGGACTTCCTCTGCGGGGCGGCGGGGGACGGGGTTTGTGTGCAAACATTGGTGGGGATGTTTTTTTGGTCTTCTGCGCAGAGCCAGAGTTGTGTAGCTGGGCCTCGGTGGTCTGGTTGATTCTCCAGCTCGGGGGCAAGACGTGCAAGGGACAGGGTGTGCACTTCCTGAAGAGATTGTTGTTCTTGATTGGAATGCGAAAAGGGTGGGGGAAGGGATAATCAATGATGTTGCCGACATGTTGGGCGACGGGCCGCTTTGGGACGCTCTGCGGTACCATGAGGGGCCGTTCGCAGAGGAGATTGCCGAGAAGATTTTGGACTCTGGCGATTTGCGGTGTTGCTCAAAGGCGCGGACCTCGATCAAGCGAAGCGTCGGCGTCTTGATGCATGGGAGATCGGTGGCTCAACGAGCAGATGCGCCGTATCACTCGGTGAATTAATTATTCTGTATCGTATTTGGATGTTTCGTTGGATGGCTGCGCGTGCCGGTTTGTAACGTCACGTTCATGTCGCGGCGGGTTTCGGGATTGCGCCCGTGACGCAGAGTTGATAGAGGTTGAGGCAGTGTTGATGGGGGCTCGACGCCAGAAGCGCACGTTCGTTCCGGGGATCGGCACAATGCCGTGCTCGACAATAAACACCCAGTTGACGACGACAACATCATCGGATACCATGGGCATCGGCAACGTCACCGTCGTGGCCGCGTGTTGGTATGCTGGTTGCGCGGCGAAAAACTCGCAGGAACGAGTCTCGTGTTCGAGAACCCGTGGGAGGACGCGTGGGTGCATCATATTTAAAACATTGGCGGGGCACGACCAATTATTTGCATTTTCGTGGAGACAGCGAAGTCTTAATCTGTTCCGCATGCTTCGGCGTGTCGGTGTTTGGAAGGTGATTCCGTCCGCCGGGCCATCCTTGCCAAGTTGCGGACAACTGGGGGGCCTCGTCCTCGGCGCCGCCAGGCGAAGAATGCGCGGGTGTAAGGCGATCCTCGTCAATCAGGAGGCCCCATTATTGTCCCGCGGCCTGCTGACGGGTGGCCTCGCGGAGGGCCATGCAAAACAACGTGTGTATTGCTTGCTCCGTCCATGGGCAGGGTCGGGCTGAGCTCGCAGGACTGGCGGGGGGCTGGGAGGGGGCTCGCGCCGATCGCCCGCGCAGCAGAGGGGTGCCAGCGCCGTTGGGGCTTGCCCCTCCTTCCGCGAAGCGCCGCGCGGCTTTTAATTTACCCCCCCGCGGTGGGGCCTCGCTTCCGTGTGCAATTCTGGTTGCCTGTGATGCGTGGAGGCAAGGGCTGGGCGCGGAGGTCGCGCAGGACGCAGCCGCGCCTGCGGCTGGAGGGGGAAAGAGCAGGGGCGTTTCCCAGAGCGCTTGCGCTCGAGGGAGGTCCTGGTGGTCCGCGCTCGCCCTGACACCGATGCCCTCTGGGGGCCCTGGCCGACCTGTGCTGGTGCTGGTTTGTCTGGGGTCCAAAAACGGCGGAGGCGCGCTCCCGTCGCCGTCGCCGTCTTCATATCGGATCAAGAGCCGCGTTTCGTGGCCGCGGGATCCAGCTGGCAGGCGTCAGCTCGGAGCAGTGCAGTGCGCGTCTCTGCGTCCTGGCGACGCGGGCGACAGCCGCCCGGGCCCTGCGGCTCGCGCGCGAGGGACCTCGGCCGCCCCTAGGCAGGGGGCTCCTTGGTGAGAGGCCAGCGCTCTGCCGACAACCGCTGAACGGGCGACGCCCAGAGAGGCGCAGCCGATCGCTGACGCCTCGAAGAGTGCTACCAGCAGAGCCAGCGCGCGCCCAGGCAAGCGCGCCTGTCGGAGCGCATGCGATGGCTGTAGCGGTGTGAGGCGGGCGCGTGGGACACATACTGAGGGCTGGGCAGCTGTGCGCGCGGCGCGGCGAACTGCGGTCGGTCGGGGTGAAGCAAGGAACGTCCGCATGGGCTGCCAATCTTGCAGGTGGTTGGGGGCCCCGTCCAACAACTTCTCGAGCGCTTGCGAGCGGCGGAACGGGCGGCCATCTGGGCGCCGCGCTGCTGAGATGGGCGCGCCGCGCGGCGCTGCGGCATGCCAAGAACGCCGTGCTAGTCACTTCGAGGTGCGAAACATGGCATGGGCACTGGCCGCGTGGGGGGCCCTTGCCAAGTGCAGAGGAACGGTTGATCGAGTTCTTGCATTTCATCGTGGATCCGGGTGTCGAGGCCAGAGTGCCTACGGCGAAGCTAGCGTCGATTGCATTTCTCAGTCGCATATCAGATCGGCAAACAGCCGCGCCCACCAAGAAACTGTCAGTGCAGGCAGCAGCCGCGGCGCATCAGCGAGACGGCCAGCGGCGGAGGCGGCGGTGAACCGTGTGCGCCGTCCAGGAAGCGCGGTTCCTTGAGGGGGCGTCGACGAATGCCGCGGACCTCCTGGTCCGGGTTGTGGCGTGTGCAGAGCTTCGGAAGCGGTGCGCGGCACTGTGCAGCGATGGCGCCCAGTGGGGCCTCAGCAGCAGGTGGCCCTCCCAGGGCGGCAGCGCCAGCGCGTGGAGCGGCGTGTGTTTCGGCCGAGGCGACCGCGACCCGGTTGCCGCAGGAGATGCTTTGGGTCGCGATTGTCCAAGTGATGTCGAAGCCGCCCGAGAGGTGATTGCTGGCGGCCGAAGACGATTTACGGGCGCCGGGAATTACGCGCGGCGACGAGTACACTCTACTATCCCCTGTTAATGTGCGTCGTAGACTCCGCCCGCCAGGGCTAGCTACATCGGGGCCAGAATGGCAAATGGTGCTCTTCAAGACGCTGCGGTCCATCGGGTTTGAGCCGCGTAGAAGCGGGCGTCACCCTGCACTCCGCGAAGAAGATCTTCCTCGTTTGGGTCGGCTGCTCCGGGCGATTTTCGGACTTGGAGCGCCAGGTGCTCGGGCACCATCGCTTCGCGAGCGTAGGGAAACGGTGCGCGCGTGCGACGTTGCAGAATTGTCTGCGCCCGTCGCGAAGCTATGGCAAGTGTCGCATAGTGTGGCCGTTTTTTTTTTTTTTTTTTTTTTTTTTTTTTTTTTTTTTTTTTTTTTTTTTTTTTTTTTTTTTTTTTCGCCCCGCCGGGCTTGCAGTGGCGGGAGGTCTGCGAGAGCAACGTTCTAGGATATCCCAGTGCGTGGCCCCGGGGGCGCAACCAGGACAGGACCGTTCGCAGGCTGCTGGAAACAGATGCAGCGCCCTTGGCGCGCGTAGTAGGAGGCATGCCAGGCCCAGGAGCGCAGTCACCCCAGCAGGGATTTGAAGTTGGTGCGGCAGGCAGTGGGACCCTTGGATCAGCCCGGGGGTGCATTTTCTCGCGCAGTGCCGCCGTGGGCAGAGAGAGGTATGCCCATGTCGCCATTGTGGCACCATTGGCGCAATCATCGAAAGGCTGCCCCAAGGTCCAGGTCAGCGCCCCGGGGGGGGCTGTGACCAACCCCTGTGGCCCTCTTCTGCAGAAAACCGCAGAGTGGGCGCCAAAAGTCAGGGACAGCCTAAGTGTACAGACCTGTAAAGCGCACGTTAATCGGGCGCGCCGCGGTGCCTCCCCCAGAGGCGCTAGCGCAGACTGAAGGCGCAGGTGCATGCTCTGGATCGCTGCGCGAGCCCAGGCTGCCGCCCTGGCCGCCGCCAGCTGGGCTGGTTGAACGCTGGCGCTAATTGGGCTGCGACCATTTGACCGCTGCATTTGACGAGTGAGGTCTAGGCGACGCAAGGCTGTGCCGCGTAAAAATAGCATCCGAGGTAGAGAACAACAAACAAACAACCAGGTGTT